AACTATAAGATACTATAATACAAATCAGAGCCATGGACTGGTAGGCATTTTTATAATCTGAATATCTTACCCAATTCATTATGAGCTAGAATTCTTTTCCTTGGATGAACAATGTCTTTTAAACCCAAGAGCTTTGGCCCAAAGTCAAATCTCCTCATTTAACACTTTACATGGGTATAAATCTGTCATGTCTTTCTTAATTGGTCAAAGTTAGACATTTTTGACAACCCCAGACTGTTTAATTGCTTCATCTCATGAAAAGGTTAAACTCTCTCCTGATCTCTCACACCTGTCATTCTCTGGCGTTTGCCAGTGTTTGGCAGCAGCTTGAATTACGCCTTAGCCATTGTGTATGCCTGTCATAAATCTTATCTTGAATTCTGGCCCCGTTCCGCTGGTTCCCTTTTATAGCTCCTACCACATATAACGTAAGGCTTTATTTATTCTCTGCTGTTCCTGAGTGCAATCCTTGGATGTGGGCTCATCTGGAGCAATCACTTGTAACGAGGTGCTTTCGGTGGAGTGTGTACATTTTGCTGCAACGTTAATCATCATCAGCGTCAGCATCAGCTGGAGCTCCAGTGTTTATACCTCATTTATTATTCCCGATCTGCTTTATTTAATAAATGAAAATGTCTAGCTAATGGGAGGAAGTTGTGTAAATATTTCAGTGAGCATGAATAATACGGGAGGAGAATGAGCCAGCAAACACTATTTGCAGTATAGTTACTGCCCTTAAGGGCATTCGTGGAGCCAGTCATGGTATCTTAGAATTTCGGGATTTTCAAATCTTCAAAATTCATAGGATCCCAGAAGGGAAAAGGAACTTCAAAGGTCATCCAGTCAGACCCTCTACTTCTGTCATCCAGTACAAGTGTGTGAAAAACCTCAGGGATGGGGTAGCCCACTCCGTGGTTAGATAGCTCTTAGAAACAAACATTCATTGAGGGAGCGCCTTAGGGAGATACAGTGATAGACAGATAGATACTAAAGGCTTAGGCCCTGCCTTCTAGGAAGTTGAGATATGATAGGAGCAGAGATAAGGCATGGACATGAATAATTATGATATGAGACTAGGAATGCAATGAAGGCAAAGGAAAGTTTCAGACAAAATACTGGAAGAAATTACAAAGTCAAAGATCACTTTCAGCTGGAGGAAGGTGAGAGTGAATAGAGGGTCAAAAAAAGAAAAAAGATTTGTGGAAGGGAAAAAGTATTAGATTTATAATCAAAAGATGTAAGTTTGATTCTCAACTCTTTCTGTCTTTATTTCTGTGTGTGTGTGTGTGTGTGTGTGTGTGTGTTTTTCTCTCTGTCTGTCTGTCTCTTTGTCTCTGTCTCTCTGTGTTTCTTTCTGTCCCTGTATCTTTCTATCTGTGTCTCACCTGGAACAAGTCATTTAACTTCTCTGGGTCTTGGTTTGCTCATCAAAAAAGTAGGGGATCATAAAAGTTGCTTTGTAGCATAAAGGGCTATAATAAATATTAACTGAGATAAAGGTAGGCAATGTACTTTGTAATTATAAATACAGGGTGTCCCAAAAGTCGTAGGGCTTAAAAAAGCTTAAAACTGCGTTAGGGCTTTTGGAATACCCTGTATATAAATATAAATATGAATATGAGCTTCTAGTTCTAGAATCATGGAATTTCAGAGCTTGAAGGAATCTTAAAGATAATTTAGGCTACCCACCTTGTTTGTTTTGTTTTTCGGTCAAGAATGCATTAGATTTGAAGCTAGAAGAACTCGGGGTTAGAACGGTTTAGGTGAATTACCCAAAGTCACACAGAGGCCCTAAGGGATCAGAGCCAGGACTAGAATCCAGGTTATTATATTCCTTGACCAGGCCTCTTTTCACTAGCTCTCTTCTGCCACTTTTACCCAATCATTGAACTCTTGAATGGTATCTACCATTTTTTTTCCTTTAGATCAGAAGAAATGAAGAGCTAACAAGCAATCAGGATCTTGTCTTACCCTGATTCAATTTATGAAGCAATCTCTAGGGATAGTATTAACTTACATGTATTTTACAGTTTATGAAACCCTTTTGCATCTGCTATTTCACATGAACCTCACAATAACTCCATGCAGGAACAGCCAGAGAGACAGGAAGGGGAAGTGACTAGAATAGAATTCTGGCAGTGGGGACAGGGAGACAGGCTCCAATTCTGCCTCTAACAGTTATTAGCTGCATGACCTAGGGCCAGCAACTTTATCACTTAGTTCCCTTGTCTCTAAAATGAGGATAGTAATAATATATCTGTAGGATCTATCTCATAGGCTCATTGTGTAGCTAAAATGAGATTGTATATCTAAAATGTTTGCAAACTTGAAAACACCATAAGAAAACACCATAAGTGATTATATAGTTATATACATAATAATTATATAATTATTAATTATTATTGTTATTATTATGCAGAGCAAGGATTATTATTCCCATTTTACTGATGAGAAAAATGGAGTACATAGAATTAAAGTGATTCATCTAGGGTCATACAACTATAGTTAATAATAATCATAGTTAACATTTACATAGTGCTTTACAAAGTAGTTTATAAATATTATCTTATTTTGTGCTCACAGCAGCTTTAGGAGGTAGGTGCTAATACTATCCCCATTTTAGAGATGAGCAAACTGAGACAGACCAAGTTTAAGTGACTTTACCAAGGTCATACAGGCAAGAAGCATCTAAAGCTAGATTTGAACTCTGATCTTCCTGTCCGAAGGGCAGCTAGGTGGCATGGTGGATAGAGCATTGGGCCTGGATTCGGGAAGACTTATCTTTCTGAGTTCAAATCCGAGTTCAGATACTTACTAGCTGTGTGACCCTGGGCAAGTCACTTACCCATGTTTGCCTTAGTTTCCTCATCTGTAAAATGAGCTAGAGAAGAAAATGGCAAACCACTCCAGTATCTTTGCCAAGAAAACCCCACAAGGAGTCATGACGTGTTAGGCATAACTGAAAAAGACTAAACAACATCAACTTAGTGATTCTAGGTTCCTGATGCTATATCATTTAGCTGCCTCACTAGGATAGTTCTCTGTTGCCAAGCTGAGATTAGAACTCATAGTCTTCTGACCTCTACTCCAGTTCTTTTCATAGCACATTGAACAGTCTCTCTCTTCACCATGCTTTGTTGTTTTTAAAATGCTCTTTTTGTCCTAGCCATTTCCACAGGTTTCAACCTAATTGGCTAGGGTAGCTTACTCCTTTATGACTGAAATATGTTAGGATAGTATGCGAGATACCTTTTTTTTTTTTTTTTTTGCAAATGAAATATGCAGCATAGGAGTAAGAAAATGATGCTATGATAGGGTTAGGGAAGTTATATTCACAACTGCTTTAATTTATGTACAGATCATAATCACCTATGGTAGGTACAGTGGGCAGCCTTTCCTCCTCTCCTACCCCAGCCTGCTCACTGCCTGGTTCTCAGCTACTGTTGGAGGGGAAGAGGGTAGGAGCTCTTCCCCCTAACTTTTATATTAATCACTCTCTCTAGACTAGATGCTGATTTCCATCTAACCCCCAAAACTTATCTCCATGGGAAAGAACCCAGAGCCCCCAATCCACTCTGACCCTTAGGCACACTTTTCCCTTAATAATTGTGGGCCTGATTAGTCCCTCTATCCCCTCCCCCTTACCTGTGGTGTGGCCACTGCTCAAACCATTTGGATGGACAGGGAGTTGCCAACCACATCTTCCACAAGATGGAGGATCAGTGAGCCTTGCCTTTTGCTGTCTTTTATGTATCATCTACCCCAATTAGAATGTGAGCTCCTTGAGAGTAGCGACCATCCCACTTTCTATTTTTATCCCAAATGCTTAACACAGTGCTTGGCACATAAGTCTTAAATGCTTTTTTATTCATTCATTCATTGGTCATATCATTTTTCTCTTTGTTGGAAGAGATCAGGGTTAAATGGAACAATAATAATTACACTTTTAGTACTTTTAGGTTACAATAATAATAATTATTATCATTTATATAGCTTTGATCTCTACAAAGTGCTTTCTATGTGTTCAGTCATTTGATCCTGATCCAAATGAGGAAACTGAGACACAGAGAGGTTAAGTTACTCAACTAGGGTCAGGTAGATAGTGTTTGAGGCTAGATTGAAAATCAGGTCTTCCTGACTTCAAGTTCTATATGTTATCCACTGTGCCACCTCAACGCCATGTGGAAGGTAGTACAAGTATCTCCATGTTATAGATGAAGAAACTTGGCCCTAAATCAATACAATGATATGTCCTGGGACCAGGGTTGTGCTGGAGCCAACACATAACAGCTGTCTGCCAATTGTTAGATTTTTAGTTTGAGCACTTATACCTTAGAAATTGGGATGACAAATCAAGACTTGATTCATTGTTTTTTTGATTGTCTAGCCCAGGAGTGGGGAACCTGTGACAGGGCTGCACTTGTGGACCTAGATGGCCATGTATGGTCTCTAGGACACAGGTTTCCCACCCCTGGCTAGACTTAAGAAAGTGATGGAGAAATGTTACTAAAGCAGATTAAACTTAAAAGTATGTCATGCAGCATACTTCTGCCTGTTGGTAAGCAGCAGAGTCAAAATTGTATCCCAGTGACTTTAAGCTCAGTGAGTTTTCTATCGCATCTCAGCTGCCCTTCCCAAAATGTCAGCTCCATATGGGTAATAGGCCCATTACATGGAAACATTTCTAAAGCCTGGCTTCCAGGGATCTTGATGGTTGGTGACTTGGTAGAAAGGACACAGCGTCCAAGGTTCTAGTCCAAGTACTTCCACTAACTTGCTATGTAACTGGAATCCATGTTCCTTTTCTGAGTATGTTTTCCCATCTATAAAGTGGAGATAATCTCAGCTGTTCCTACCTCGTACACTTGCTGTGAGAATCCATGAGGATCCAGTGAAATAACAGATGTTAAAGCCTTTGAAAGATCATTGAATGCCTTGGAAATGTTTGATGTTGTTTATTATTCTTGTTGTTATTGTTATTACTGTTGTTCTTTTAATAGGAAAGAGTCAGCCTACTTGAGAAGATAACCAAGGAGCATGAACAGTACAAGGCAAATGTGGACCAATTTCAGCTGTGGCTAAATGGGGTGATGGAAAAAGTGAACACCTCTCTAGGACGAAGATGCAAGATGTCTGCCAAGCAGCAGCTCAAAACTTTACAGGTAATTTCACGTATTGCTTATCTTCAGACTGAAGGTTTTGCTAAGGGATATTCATGTTGTTCCTGTCTAGACTGTCCTGACTCAAGGAAGAATAGGGAATACTCTGTGGCAGGAAGAAGAGCATTGCCATCTTCTGTTCTGGCAAGCCTTGTTAACAAGCATTTATTAATCACTTACTATGTGCCAGGCACTGTTCTAAATGCTGAGAATACAAAGGGGATCTCATCACATGTGCAAAATAAATGTATGGTTGTTTATGGATGGAGAGTACTAGTAATTGGGGTGATCAGCAAAGACAGCATTTAGAAGGTAGCGTGTGAGCTGAGTCTTGAAGGAAATAAGAGGCTTAATGAGGTGGAGGAGAGGAGGGAGTACATTCCAGAAATACAAGGCACTGGGTTGGCTATCGAGGTATATCACCTCAAGGTCATCAGCCTCCTCCTATGTATATAAAAAAGTGCTGGGAAAATAAACAAGCAAAACAAAACAAAACCAGTCACTCTTCTCAAGGAGCTCACAGTCTGATGTGTCCTTCTAAAAAGGGATGTGGCCTAGAGACATATCAGGGATTGATGGGAAGTGAACCATCAACTGCATAACTGCAATTATTCAAATCACTTGCCATTGTTTAGGATTTGGGCCTCCTGCTCCAAGGTAAGCAAAGTAGGTCACTGCAAAGAGTTCTGGACTTGGAGTCAGGGACTTGGGCATTAATCCTGGGTCTGATGCCTATTAGCAGTGTGATCTGAGGCAAGTCACTGAGCCTCACGGAATCTCAGAGATATTCTAATTGAACCTGCATGTGATCTAGAATTCCTTCTACAGCTTCTGCACAAGTGGTCATCTAGCCTTTACTTGAAAACTTTAAGTGAAAGGAGAAAACCTAATAACCACCTCCCGAGGCAACCCATTCCATTTTGGAAAAACTGTATAAAGTTTTTGCTTTATATCATGATTTTTCATTTGTTGATTCAGTCATTCATTCATTCAAGCCTAAATCTGTCTTTCTGTGACTTCTTTTTTTTTTTTTTTTTTTTTGTTGCTTTTTTGGTGAGGCAATCAGGAGTAAGTGACTAGCCCAGGGTCACACAGCTAGTAAGTGTCAAGTGTCTGAGGTCAGATTTGAATTCAGGTCGTCCTGACTACAGGGCCAGAGTTCTATCCAGTATGCCGCCTAGCTGCCCCACTGTGACTTCTTTCAATGGGTTCCAGCTCTGCCCTCCAAGGCTCCATAGAACAGTTTCAATCCATGTTCAGCATGAGAGCCTTACAAACACTTGAGGACAACTATTGTGTGCTCCAGCCCTAGGTTTTCTTTTCTGGAGACAAAACATTTTTAATTCCTTTTCTTGGTCCTTTGATAATATGGGCTATAGTCGTTTCATCACTCCCCTTCACCCTTCTGTGGATGCTTCGCAGCTTATCAATGTCCTTCTTAAGATGTGTAATGTAGAATTAGACACATCCCACAGATGTGGTCTGACCAGATTCAAATACGGCGGGACTATTCACTTTATTCCTTCTGAACATGTCTTTTTAATGCAACCTGGGATAGCATTACCTACTTTGAGTTTCATTTTACACTACCGACTTAATTTGAGCTTGCAGTTCACTAAAACACACAGAATTTGTTCATGGGACCTATTGGTCCAGGAGTGTTTCCCTTCTCTTCATTTGTGAAGTTGATGTCTTGAACCTAAATGCATTATATTTCACCTTCAATAAATCGATTGACAAGCATTCGTTAGGTGCCTATTATGTGCCTGGCATGGGGGGTACAAAGACAAAAAGAAAACAGGCTTACGTTTAAGCAGCTTATGTTCTATCAGGGGATCTAACAAGCACATACATAAACATATACAAAATAAATATATGGTAGATTATGGAGGAAGAGCACTAGCAATTGGGGGTGATCAGGAAAGGTATCATTTAGAGGATAGAGCTTGAGCTGAATCTTGAAAGAAAAAACAAATTTTATGAGGTAAAGGAGAGGAAGGAATACATTTCAGTAATATAATTATTGTAATATATTCGGTATCCAGGGGTATATAAAGAGCTGAAGATTGCAATCTGATTGTATGCACCTAAGTAGTTAACTTATAAGATGTGCCACATCTTCTTCACCCTGACCCTGATCTGTAAAGCCTCATGGAGAAGGTAGGGGGGTGAAGGATGGGTTTGTGGATTTTGGCAATACAGCTTCAGAGTAAATACATGTTCCACATAGGGAAGTGGAAAACTGGTAAAATTACTTGAGTTTATACCAGTATAAATATTTATAAACTGGGCCAAAAGGCAGATTTGTCTTGCTTATTTGTTGACATAGGTTATTCAATGCCTATTTTTGAGCACTTAGGAATATTTGAAAACTTGATTGTTTGGACTTTTAAAGCCCTTCATAAGCTGGGTCATTTCAACTTACCCCCATCCCCACATATACTTCAATCCAGTGACAATGGTCTCTCCACTGTTCCTCCAACAAGACCCTCCGTCTTCCAACTCTAAGCATTTTCACTGGTTCTCCCCCATCTTTGGAATTCTCTCCCTCTGAATCTATGCCTCTTGGCTCCTGGCTTCCTTCAATTCTCAGCTAAAGTCCAACTTTGTACAAACCATTTCAGATTCCCCTTAATGCTAATGTTTTTTTTCTTTGGGGTTATTTCCTGGGCAAGTCACTTAACCTCTGTCTGCCTCAGTTTCCTCAACTGTAAAATGAGAATAATAATAGCACCTACCTCCTGGAGCTGTGGTGAAGATCAATTGAGACATTTGTAAAAGCATTTGGCACAGTGCCTGGCACATAATAGGTGCCATATAAATACTTACTCCCTTCCCACTTCCCTCATCCTGTAGATCTCATTTGCACACAGTTGTTTGCATGTTGTTTTTTCCATTAGACTGTGAATTCCTTGAAAATAGAAACTGTCTTATCTTTCTCTGTATCCCCACTGTTTAGTAAGGTTTCTGGTGCATAGTAGGTACTTAATAGTTATCGATTGACCACTCATGGGAAGTAGTTTGCTGTAGTGAAAGAGCACTGTGCTAGAGGTCAGGGTCACTGCCAGGCTCTTGTACTGGCTCTTCCATTAACAAGTTCTGTGATCTCAGGTCCTTCATTTGTCAAACAAAATAGTTAAGCAGAGTGCCTGGCACATAGTAGGTGCTTCATTAATGCTTGTTGATTGATTAGGCTAGCTGATCTCTAAGGTCCCTTCTAACGCTGATAGTTTTTTCTTCATCCCCATCTTTGGCCTTTCTTTAGCATTCAATACTGTTGCTCACCCCACTATTTCTGGATACTCTCCTCTCTTGACTTTCATGACAGTGCTTTCTCCTGGTCCTCCTTCTTCCTGCAAGTTCTTATACAGTATATAAACTTGTCTCCTGCATCAGCATTAAAATTTCTTGAGAGTAGGAATTATTTTATTCTTTGTGTTTGCATCCCTAGCGCCTAGCACAATGTTTAGCACATAGGGGGTGCTTAACCAAAGCTTGTGATTGATTGATTGATTGATTGGTTAGACTTAGTAGTCTGTCTTCATGGCATAGTAGATAGAAGGCCAGCCTTAGAGTCAGGAAGACCTGGTTTAAGTCCTATCATTGATATATACAGACTGTGTGACCATAAGTAAGTTACTTCATCTCTCAGTGCCCCAAGCAATGATCTAATACTGTAAGTTATAGACAGACTGCCAAACAGCAACTTTTCTGGCCCCCTTCTTCCCCAGGTTCCTTTGCTGGATCATCATCCATGTTCCACCTCTTCAGCCTCCAAGGTTCTGTCCTGGTCCCTCTTCTCTTCCCTCTCCATGTCCTCTCTTGGTGATATCATCATGTTACATGGCCTCAATGATCATCTCTATGAAGCTGGTTTCATAGTCTCTTTCCTAAGCACAAGACCAGAATTACCTAATCCACCTGGATTTCCCCATGGCATCTCAGACATAACTTGTATAAAAATAGAATTCATCTTGCCTTCTAAATCTATCCACCCTCCAAACTTTCCTAATTCTAATGCAGGTGCCACCATCCTTCCACACACACCCAGATTCACAATCTTGGAACCAGCCTTAATTCTTCTCTTTCTTTCATTGTCCATGCAAAATCAGCTGCTAAAACCTTCTGATTCTGTCTTCCCAATGTTTCTCACATTTGCCCTCTTTTTCTTGATTCACATAGCGACCACCCTGGTTCAGTAACTTATCACCTCTCACCTGGACTATGGCAAGAGATTCCTCATTGGACTCCTAGCTTCTAGGCACTCTCCTCTCCAAAACATTTTCCACATAACTGCCAAAATAATCTTCCTAATGCATGTCTGACTACATCATCTTCCCGATGAACAGCCTTGAATATCCTATTGATTGCCTCTAGGCTAAAGCACAAAATCCTCAGCTTGGCATTTAAAGTCCTTAATAATCTGGCTTCTGTCTACATTTCTAGGATTGCTGCATATCACTCCCCTTCCTGCACTTTATATTCCAGCCAAATTGGCCTATTTGATCTTCCTGAGATTCAATATATCTTCTCCTACCTCTCTGCCTTAGCACAGTCATTTTCTTGTGATTGGAATGTGCTCCCTAGAATCCTCAGCCTCTTTCAAGGATCAGCTTTTTGTCACTGCTTACAGAAAGGTTTTCCTGATATTTCTGGTTCTTAGTGTGCTCTCCTTCCTCAAATTATCATGCATATACTTTTAATAATAATAGCATTTATGTAGCACCTATTATGAGCCATGCACAATTATTTCATTTGATCCTCACAACAATCCTGGAAGGTTAAGTGCTATTATTATCCCCATTTTACAGTTGAGGAAACTGAGGCAGAGAGAGGTTAAGTGACTCGTTCAGGGTCACACAGCTAGTGTCAGAGACTGGATTTGAACTGAGGTCTCCCTGACTCCCAGCCCAGCATTCTATCCAATGAGCCTGTTAGTTGCCTCCTATCTATTAGGGTATTATATTTTCCCAGTACATTGTGGGTTCACTCAGGGCAGAAACTATTTCTCTTTGTTGTTGTTGTTTTTTTATTCCCAGTACCTAGCACAGTGCCTTGCACATAGTAGGTTCTATTAAATTCTTATTAGATTTGATTGAATAGGATTTTATTATTCTATACCCTTCCAGATCTGACATGTTGTGAGTGTATTTGATAAGGAGAATGAAAATGCCTTGGAATTAGATGGAAAAAGGAAAGAACCTCTGGAAATTGGTTAATACTTTTCCGCCTATTTCTAATCAAGTGTCTCCAACCTGCTTTACCTTTTAGAATTTTGCTAAAGATTTTCAGAGCGGTGAGAAGTCATTAAAGAAGCTTGAGGATCAATCTGCTGGGGTTATCCAGAACACCTCTCCTTTGGGAGGGGAGAAGATTACTAATGAACTTGAAGAGCTAAGAAAAGCCCTGGAAAAGCTGAAATTTTTTTGCAAGGAGGAAGAGGAGAGAAGCCTGAAGACACTGAAGTCAGAGGGGGCCTATGAGACGCAGGCCAAACAACTGGAAGCGGAGGTCAGAAGATTCAGAAAGGAGCTACAGAGGCTAGCCGAGGACCTGGAACCTGGGGAGAAGGCAAGAGATGAAGCCGAGTTGATAGAGCACTGGAGAACTTACTCTGTAAGTTGCCTTTAGTTAAATGTTGAATATGATCTGTCCAGACAAGTTAAATAGGCTGTGGGATTCCCTCGTTTGTTACGGGTATGCCTCAGGTTAGCAAATTAGACTAAATATAGTTTGGAAGCAATACTGGTTATGGAGTCTGAAGACCCGTGTTTAATCCCAGTGCCACTGCACACTCACCAGTGTGAGTCAAATCAGGCAAGTCAGTTCATCTTTCTTTGGCCTCAGTTTCCTTATCTGTAAAATGAGGAGGTTAGATTAGACAATTCCTAAGGTCCCATCTATCCAGTGGTATTAAAGCCTGGCCAAAAATAAAAATAGTTTAAAAGGAGCTGCTGCATGGTGTTATCCACATCATTTTTCAAATTATTCAATACTTATTAGCCCATTCCTAAGTTATTCATTAACTATTACTCAATAAACATTTTATTGAGTAATGAACACAAATGAGATTCAAAAAATGTACCAGAGAGATCCTTTGCCCTTGAGGGTCTATAGCAAGGGTTCTTTACCTTTTTAATGTCGTGGATCCCTTTGGTGGTCTAGTGAAGCCAGGGGTGTGCTGATAAATGTTTAATAACCAGCTTTCTGGGGGGGAAATGTATATACACAGGAGATACTTTTAAATTTAATCTGCTTTATTAAACTTTTCTCCACCACTTTCTTAAGGTTTGACAATCGACAAAACAGTAAATCAACTCCTGATTTGTAGCATTTACCAATTTCCAAGGTGTACATGCTCTCACTGAAAATTTAACAATTGGCTCTCCTGAATTGGGTTGAGCTGGTTCTAGTGGATCCTTGGGGGAAGCTCAACGATCCCTTCTCAGAATAGTATCTGTTGTTTATGTTTATAATTGAAAGAAATGCTAAGTTCTAGTCAGAAGTTAGTGAAAATAAAAAATATATTTTCCCCCATCTAAGTTCAAAGACCTTCTGATATCTTTCCATGGACCCCTTGGGAATTTGTGGCCCCAAGACCCGGAACCCCTGGCCCACAGTCTAGAAGCTATATGATGGACCAAAACAGAACAAAGTGAACCACTTTGGAGTGGTTCTAGTCCAGCTTTACCACTCCCTGTACCACTACATGACCGTGGCAAGTCACCTCACATCTCTAGGCCTCAATATCTTTATCTGTAAAATAAGGTTGTTGGGCTTAGATGGTCTCTAAGGGCCCTTTCTAGGCCTAATTTCACCACTATACTCTTTTTCATGGGAGGCCAGTGAATTTTCCAAAAATGAACTTTTCATTAAACCCTTTGCAAAAGAGTTCACAAACTAAGCGATTATTTCCATTTTATAAGTGGGGAAAATGAAGGGAAGAGAGGCTTCCTGACTTCCCCAAGCTTCTATAATGAGATAATGATAGAAGAGGCAATATTGATGAGATATTCAAAGATTTACTACTCCTCACAGTCTCACTCTCAGTGGTGGAACATGGAGCATGCTTCCTGTTATTGCAGCTGGGGAGGAATTGCTAGTCAAGGTTGTCTATGGTTCTAATCCCAACTTCCTCGTCAAAGGACTAGCAAACAAGATGTAAGAGCTACAAAGGGGCTATATAAACCAAGGAACACTTTTCAGACTCTCTTCACGTGAGACAAAAAATGCAGACAACTGTTACTCTTTTCCACTCTAGTAAGTATTTTGAATGAGAAGATTTTAGACAAAGAGGCACTAGACTCATAATTCTATAGAATTAAAACTGGAAAATACCTTAGAGATCACCTAGTCTAACTCTCTAATTTTACAGAAGAGGAAACTAAGGCCCAGAGAGATTAAGTGACTTGCCCAGGGTTATATAGCAATAGCATAGATTGACTCCTAATGCTTTTCTCCCTAGCTTACAAGGTAAGAGACCTCTATTCCAGTCCCAGGGCTTCCATTAAGTATTTGAATGGCCTCAAGAAAATTCTTTCATTTTTCTGAGCTTTAGTTTCCTCCTCTGTCAGATAGAAATAATAACCCTTTCCCTGCCTAAGTCAAAGGACAGTTGTAAAAGTCACATGAGATGACAAAAGTCAGCGTTTTAAAATAAATGTTACTAATGGCTGTGGTGAGGAAAGCATTTTAACTGTGAAGTTTATGCCTCCCCCACAATTCCCACCCCCTTTACACACATTGACTATAAAATGTGAGCTATATAATTCTTCTCATTCAGAAACTGCCCTAAAGTTGTTTCTGAGCAAAAATAAAGCAAAGGCTGCTATCCTGGCTCATTCTTTCCCTCCCAGATATATTTGGCAGGTGTGAATATGGGGTTCTAGAAAGAGGCATTGACAAGTTATTTAATCTCTCTGGGCCTCAGGGAAGCCCATCTGTAAAATATGAGGAGACTGGACTACGTGATCTCTGAGTTCACATCTAGCTCTCGAGCTATCATCCAGTGGGCTCATGAAAACAACGTACTAAGGAGTGGGAGACTGTGATCTACTATTGCTGGAAGTTGAAGTAAAGAATGCCCTTCTCACCATAGTCAGGACATGACTCTGTGGAAAATTAGCAGTCCTTGGGACCCTTCCCTGGAGCTTTTACCGCACAGGTTTGTTGTGAAGACTAGATGAGATAGTGTATGGAAAGCAGTTAACAAATCTTGTGCATTGCCCTGACTAGCGAAAATTTGTTGAGAATAATTGATTTTAATGTCCTCTGGAGTTCATTTGGAATTTGACTTGACTGTTGTTTTTGTGATTAAGGCCACCAGATCAGCTCTGGCAACAGAAGAACCCAAGGCTGAAAGACTGAAGTCTCAACTTAAGGAACTTGTCCGATTTAACCATGATTTGCAGCCTCTTTCAGACAGTGTTGTGACTACCATGCAAGAGTTCCAAAGGTATTTAGAATTGGTGATCTTTTTGAGAATGAATAGATTTGGCCCCATCTTTCTTGTGCTCAAAACTTTCAATGGTTCCCTATGATCTACTAGGTAAAATTAAAATTCCTTTGTTTAGCATTGAAGGTCCTCTATAATCTTGTACCAGCCACACATTTTACATTTTCTGCCTTTATTTCACACTACTCCCCTCTATATTTCATTCTATACTCAAGTGAAACTCACCATTTACCATCCCTATACATGTTCCACATTTTTCCTACCTCATTCTCTTTTACTCACTCTGTTCTTTTTGCCTAGAATGCCATGCCAAACTCTGTTGTGTCCCTACCCATCTTATCATCAAATGACATCTCTAAGTATCCCTTGTACTTCCCAATGCACTTATTGCATGATATCTCATATTATCTGTCCGTGTGTCCCGTGTTTCTACTAGACTGTAAGCTCCATGTGATCAGAGACTATCTATGTTATGTTTCACAGTGCTCTGCATAAAATAGGCACCTGATGAATCTCTATTAAATAAAATGAAATCAGGGAGATGACTGGTCACCTAAAACCAAATCTTTAGATAGCTTCTTATATTCCTTGAAATTTCATACCTTTTTCTTTTCACCCCCCAAAACTGTGTTGTTAGCTTTTAGTACAGGTAGTATTAACAACTACGATTCATCCATTCACTCATCAGACACAGCCTATAGACTTGGATTTTGCTTCTTAAGACACAATCTGCTCATCTGTCATTTCCCCTAAACCTCAGAATGTAATTTAGTCAGTGTTTCCCCTTAGTGTTGCTATAGTGGTGGATAAAGGAATTATAAGCTTTCAAACCTGAATAAACCTTTCTAACTGAATGATAGCACCTGAGTGGAAGTGCAATATCTGGTATTTCTGTAGTGCTTTAATTCATAAGACTTGTGAAATAGAGCAAATATTATTGTACCCATTTTACAGATATAAAAACCAAGGCTCAAAGAGTTAAATAGTTTGTACAAGGTCATACAACTGGCAAGTGGGTTGGGACTAGAACCCATGTTTCCAAAGCCTTTGATCTTTACAATGAACCATGCTTCCTCAAGCCAGCTTCCTTTGGTAGTTTCTGGGATTGCAGCAAAAATTTAAGACTGCCCATAGATTGAAAACTGCAGCTTTTGAATTCAAAGATTTAAACTACTTTGGAGTTGTGGCTGTATGAAAATAAAACGAGACACCAAGCTTCCTGCTTCAGCCCATCCCTTTCAAGTGTCTTATAGTCATATGCTTTTGATGGACTGAGGATGAAGGATAAAAGATATGTAAGTAGAATGAGGAGTAACACTAACCATGGAAATAAGGCAAGTGGAATGGATTGCCTGAGTGGGTGGTGAGTTCCCCATCACCAGAGGTGCTTAATGGGTGGCTGGTTGCCAGGGAAGGTGTAGAAGGGACCGAGTTAAATTAGATAAGCTCAGAGGTCCCATCCAACTTTTTGACTCTATGATTCTAAAAGAGCAGATATTTGTAATATTCTGTAGCATTCTTGTCCTCAAGGTTTAAATTTCATTAGAATTGAGAGATTACAGAATCATATGGTGTCAGATACTCCAGACAACTAACTAAACGGACCTCAGTAAGTGGTCACTTAGAATCTATTAAAACAGTTCCAATGATAGGGAATTTCATATCACTCAAGACAGCCCAGCATGCTTTTAAATGGCTCTCATCATATAAATTTTTCTTTATATGGAGCTCAAATATGTTTATACAGCTTCTTTCAGTTGATCTTGGTTCTGCCCTCTAGGCCAGTCAGAAAAAGCCTCGTCCTTCTTCTGCATTTTTATACACCTCTTTCTGAGGCTCTGTTAGTGCAGACATCTAGGAGATAGGCCTCACCTTTTTCCTTCAGTTCAATAGAAAAGAAAACCTGCATCTCTCCCTTCTGCTCCTCTCACCCACCGCCTCAGGGTTCTACTCTCGTCCTTTAGTCTTCCAACTCAGTAAGGTACAACCTAAAATTACATATACACAATGAATTACAGAATCTTAAAAGTATATACATTAGAACTTGAAAGAAGTAACTTTAGTTTCCTTAGCTGTGAAGTGATGGAGTTGCACTGGGAAATAATGATAACCAACATTTCTATAGAACTTTAAGTTTTACAAATTACCCTTTACAATAGCCCTGAGTAGGAGGTCCTGTAAGTGTTATCTTCATTTTATAGATAAGGAAACTGAAACCTAGTGAGGTTAAGTGACTTGCCCATGATCGTACAGCTGATCAATCAATGAAAGAGTAGAACAGCCTGCCCTCAAACCCAGTCCTTCTGACTCCAAGCCTAGTGTCCTTTTCATCATATATCCCTGCCTCTATTTAGAACTAAATGACATTCACATTTGGAATTTTATGGATTTTCAGTACACATACTTCAGATGCAAACATTAGATGTAGAAACTGACTCAGTCTTTGTCCTACTTCTGATCTCTCCAACTGTTCAACATCCCCTATTAATCCTCTCTCTGCAGTTCCCTGATATTCATGCTCAAGTACGATATACGGCAACCCAACAGAGCAGATTTGTGGCCCTATAGTACACTGATGGGCAAGTCTCAGAACCCAGAATCCTACTTGCACATTCTCAAGGAAGGGAGAATTTTGTCAGCAGGTTTTCTTCATTTTAGCTGGAAATTGACAGAATAGTATAAAGGAAGAAGTACTGGCTCGGGAGTAAGGAGACTAAGGTTCAAACCCAGGTTCAAACTTTTATGATAGAGAGTTCCCTTAACTCTCTGAATTTGTTTCCCCATCTAAAAGTGGGGATAATTATATTTGCATAATATCCCTCACAGGAGAATTGTGATGAACCTATTTTGTAAATCTTAAAACTCTGCGGAAATATGATGATGATTAAATAAGTAGTGACCTTGGACAAATCTTTGACCAATGACAAATCTGGCCATTAGTTTCATCACTAAAATAATGTAGTTAAACTTAGTTATCTCCAAGAATCCCTATAACTCTAATATTCTATGATTCTAAGGTTATAAAGTCATAGATTCAGATTTGGAAAGGATCTCATAAACCATCTTGTCCAATTTCCTTGTTTTATAGATCAGGAAGCTGAATCCCAGGGAGGTTAAATGACTTGATTTGTAAGGTTACATAGGTAGTAAATATCAGTGGTGGTATTTGAGCCCAGGTCCTTTGACTATGCTCATTCCATTGAACTATGACACTTCCTTCTTCTAGCTCCAATATTCTTTGATAATTTTCTCTGAGTTTTGATAGTTAAAGGTCCAAGTGTGAGACTGGAGATGTATATTCTGTCTAAGCCAACTTGCTTGGCAGAGATCTTAGGCAGAGATGATCCCAGGTTCTCAAAGGCTGTGCCAGGGGAGCACATGTTCTAACTTGTTGAAAATACTTGAAACATACATCTGGTCACTATCCATATGCCTATCATCTGAGAATCAACCTAGGTAGTCTCTGAGAAGCTCATTTCCAAAGCTGCCTAGAGAGGGGCAAATTTTTTGACCACCATGATTCACCAAGACCATCACCTAAGACACAGAAGAATTGTAGCCTGTGATAATCAAGGCAATTCCCACATCTGTGATGTCACATATCCTTGCAGTATTAAAGTTTTTGAAGTATGGCTTGATCAGATTCTTCCCCCACATCTATTCTCTACTCCACTCCCCCCTAGAAGAAAAATAAAAACTGTTTAATATAAAATTCATAGAAACCACAAAATCCCACTTCACAGGGTTATGGAAGGTCCAAAGGAAAAGTAAGAAAGGCACTAAAGTACTGGTGTTTGGAAAATGGTGTGTTTTCCTTTTTAGTTATATGTTAGCATAGAAAACTTCACAGCTGTCTTTTAGCCAAGTTTGCAGTAATTTCTTGGATATAAACTATATTTCCACTGAATGCCCCATCTTTCAAATTCTATGGATGAGGACACTGCTGGTTGGGAGATAAGTGCATCTTGTACATATCATTGACTTAGAGCTCATATGCCAGCTAAATAGAATTTTCAGTATCTCACAAAATTCATAGACTATTGACCTTAGACTTCATAGAATACATAGAAATCATAGAATGTTGTCCCCTTAGTTAAATGTAATCTCTATGAGGCCAGAAACTAATTTTTTTGTCTTTGCATTCCCACTGCCTAGTATATTAGCCTTTAGTCAGTTTGTTGAATTAAATTGAATGTAAAATGGTAGAGTTGAAAAGGACTATAGAGATCATCCTTTCTAGTCCAGTGTTGTCATTTTAAAGAGAAAGAAACTGAGGCTCAGAGAAGAGGGCTATTTTTACCGCTGCAGAGTTCTGACTACTACCCCCTCTTTTCTGAATTCATATGAGCATAATAAATTCTGTTTAGTTCCTCATTTGAATTCTTTCTGAATCTTTATGTTCAAAGTGTGTTCCTTATAAACAACATATTGTTGGATTCTGCTTTATAATTCACCATGCTACCCTCTTGAGGTTCATGTGATGTCCACTTCTCCAACCCTTTTGTTCATGATTATATACTCTTTGCACATACCAAAATTATGAGAAATAATACATTCTACCCCCTTCTTCTTCCTTTCTATACTTGTAATTCCTTTCTTCTTTCCTTTTACTCTCCTCACTTAAGACTATCCAAACAGAAAAGAAAAAAAAAAACAAAAGCCCTCTGTTTTTATTTATCTTTCTCTGTCACCTTAGAAGATATTGGGGCTCCAAGGTATGCTTGTTTCTTCTCCCCCATTAGCATATAAGTATTTCATCATTATATAGGCCCTTATAATTGTGCAAATGCATTTAACTTTCTAGACTTCTCTTGACTCCTATGTGTACATTTCAAAGTTTCTGCTCCATTCAGATCTCTTCAGTAGGAATGCTTCAAAACCTTTTATTCCACTAAAAATTCATTTTCTTATCCCTTGTAGGATTATATTAATTTTTTGCAGGATTCATTATTCTCAGTTGTAAGCCTTCATCTTTTTGCCTTTTGGAATATCATATTCTA